AATTTGTTTGAGTAAAAACTGAATATTTACTCAAATTGTGTCTGTTGGCTCTAAAACTAGGGTTTATTTCCAAGAATATTGTAGAATATAAAAAAAGTGGCAAGGAAGTCTGGTGGTGAAAAGGTTAATGACACATATATACAATGTACAACCTGAATAAACTGTTAAAAGAGCCAAAACATTGATGAAAAGTGAGTAATTATGAACACAGCAGGTGTAGAGAATGTCTATAAAGATTAATTTCATGTCTGCATCCAATGATGTGTGCCAATAGAGTCTGCTATAGGAACCATCACATGATGAATAAACAGAATTCAGTCAAATATGGCGACAACTGAGACTGGACATCTGTTTACATCCACCTGATAGTGTCGTCAACTGTATCATTCGTAATATATTTAAAGCGAGAGGTTCGTCACCTGCACACACGCGGAATTGAGTCCCAAGTGACGATAACAAGACACGCTAAAAATGCAAAGGCTTATGGGTAGACGCTTGTTTGTAAACAATGACATGCTATGACCATCTGACGCATGCGCAAGTAACGACTCCCCTGCTTTAATATTACTTCATATTTATGTAAAATTTGTTTTATGAGAAACAATGCTTTTATTTAATTAAACTTTTGACAGTTTTGCATAATGAGTTTGTTGTAAAATCCAACCAAGTTAAATATTTTGCATACATGTGCCTGTGCCACTGGTGGAGTCAAGCTTCTAATACGACAAATATGATGTGTATGTAAGATGCATGTAGGGAGTATGACATGAAGTATGATTAATGTTTTCCTGATAAATATTTGCTTCATCATTTTATACATATATTTTCTATGATATTGGATTAAACAACTTTCATTAGAATGAACATCATTGAATAAAACAAAATGGCCAACAGCTAAACAGTTTAAATAAAATATGAAAAACAAATATTGCTCAATGTATGTATCAAGCTTGAACAAAATCTGTTTATGCAGATGGAAATCCGGTTCCAGATATTTTGATGAATTTTTAACATTAAAATGATGGTCATATGTATTCAGCCATTCAGACACGTATGTGTGGCATGATGTATACATAAAGTTTGAACATGATACAGGTGGAGGTGCACAGAGGTTAATCCACAAGTAAAAAGTGAGTACATTTTGTGAATTTTTCATTAACATCATAAATTTGACACAATATACAGTTATAAAGATGTTTTTCAACAAAAAGGTACTAACAGAAGTCAAGGCAGCAATTACGTTAGCTCATTTATAGGTGATTGCAATTTGGTAATTGATGGAAAAATAAATAATCTCAAACAATCTTTGAGCAAAAAAATAGTGGACAGATCATCGTGCTGTGTTGTGTTGTGTTGTGTTCGTATGTGGATCCCATGTGACATACGTTACTCTTACGTGAAAAATACATTGTCATGATACACAAAATTGTGGCAACAACAGTGACATAAATTTTATTTGTTTACCTCCATAAATAAACGAAGTCTTAAAGGGGAACCGGTCAATCCCATGGATTGCACCACGTGCTCATGGGTAATTAACTCCGCCTCTGTCCACTAAGTAAATGAATGCTTATTATGTTCGCTTACTCAAACTGTGATTGACAGACATTTTGCATACATTACTTGTCGCGGCACGTTTCAACCAAAAACAACAACTTTTTTACATCAAAAGCCCAACCAGATGAGTGTAATCGCTAGCGTACATATTCATGCCCCCGTAGAAATGTTTTTGGAATCACAGCTTGATCTCTAAACATCGTAAATGGCACATTTCCCGGAGCTCCCGCCACGATGTGAGCAGCTTGGTTCGGATTAGCATACTAATTGCGGTGTCCATCTTGTCCCCTTTAAATGTGGAACTCTTTAGAAAGCAGAAGAATTATTACATGTACATGTGTTGTTGTACATGGACAGCAGAGTTCTCCCCACGGAAATTAGAGTAGGGGTTCCCAACTGTTAAATTTTGTATAAACAATAGAAACAATTTAGCATAACAATGAATACAATAGAATTAACATATTCTATTGTTATGCAATTTGGTCGATACTGTATGCAATTTTGCTGGAGAGAACACTGGACTGTGTTAACGAAATTCAATACTGGTATGCAGTGTTTACTGGCAATTCTTTGGGATGTGTGGTAATATTCATTGCAAATATTAATAAACAAATATGTGTGGGAAACTCATTTACATGTACTTAACAATAAAACTGAATATGGGTTTGTTGTGTTTGGACTGTCCATTAGCCAAATCCTCACTCATACATGTACCAGTTATAGATGATTGGCACCAATATCATAATTAAAATCTATGATTAGCTGAAAGGATAAACACAGGAAATATAATTTCCTGGAATTATTCTCTGATTGTAGAAAAGTGCTTGAATTAATATTTAACGATAACCTTTGACCTAATTTCAATTCAAAATGTATATTATTTTGTCTTATCAGTAACAAAAGTTTTGTAAAGAACAAGTCTGGGTGATGTGCATATCATGTTTAAAATTTTTTAATTTGTCACATCTTTGCTTATTTTTATGATCCCTTTACAGTATTTTAAGAAGGCGTTTATAGTACAGAATGCCTCCAAATACTTGAATTTCATCTCAAATATTGGGCATTTCACAGACCACTGACTTTATTAAATGGGTTTTTATTGTGTTTTTTATAATTGCTTACATATTTAGCGAGTTCAGTGGATACATTTCAAAAATAGTTTTATACATGTATGTAGTTACTAGTATATAATAACCATACATTGATAAAGCTGTATTTTTAGAGCCATTATTATGATTATATTATAAAATTATATTAAATTATATTAAATAATTCAATTGCTAACTGTATTGGTGTATTAGAAGTACATGCTATTATGTAAATGACAGAGGTGAATGTATGATCAAAATATCTCATATTTCAATGATCCAGAATATAATAAACATAATTTTTGCTTTACAAGTGTGCTTCTAAGACAACAAACACAGTATACCCTGGTATACAATTTTTATCAATTAATAATGATGGAAAATAAGTCCATTACAGTGCCTCCATGTTTTGTTTACTAGATGAATGAAATACTAACCGCATTAAAGTAAATAGCAAAAATCCCTCTGGTAAATTATAATCATAATAACAATAATGCTGGGAAATTTATTAATGAAACACCAGCTATTAGCTGCTACAGGGGAAGGAAACATTGCAACTGTCTATGTTTGTATGTGGATGAAAATTAATTGAAGACATGAATAAGGCACAAGTTAAATTCTATTTTTAAGAACTAATTTTAGTAATGAAGCCACCGTTTTACTTGCATCATATTATTTAATTAAGATGGAAGAATAAGGACATCCATGATTTTATAGATCTGATGTGTTAACACTTTACTTTACAAACATCCTGTTAAGTAAGATGACATCGTTTCAACTCAATTAGCATCCAAGATATCATAGTTCTCACATGTTATCAACATTTTGAAAACCTTAATATTAACACAAAATTTTGAAAATTATTATCATGCAATTATTTTTTGATTTCTTTGTAAATTTTGGACTAAATAAACCTAATTTTCAGGTTTTAATCATTCTTTTTTTACAAAATATGGAAACTTTTGTGAAAAAGTGACAAATGTTGATTTGGCATTCACACTCTATCATTAAGTTTGATATGAATACTCCTTTTCAATTTGTCTTCATTTATACTGTCATCAACCTAAAATGCACGAAAGATAAATTTTGCAAGTCAACAGAAATCGTGAAAGAAAGATTTATAATTATAAATTTAAAAATTTATAATTTGTTGATAAAATCAAGAAGAAATACTCATTTTGTTCACAATTAAGACTGAATTCAGTGAAAATAAAAAAAAAATATGAACAAATTAAATGGTAAGTAAATTTGGTGCTCAAATGATTGAAGAGTTGTATTGTCATTTTTTTCAGTTTATCCAAAATGAACACTCTTTAACTAGGAGGCTTAATTATAGCAGTAAAGAAAGATTGTATAGTTTAAAGTACTATTTGAGTTCAATCATATCACACACACAATGCTGGTACACTCTTTTTGAATATACTGTATTAACCCATGGGGTTCTGAAGAATCAGAAACTCACAATATCTGTAGTCTAAGCATACTAAACTATGATTGGATGATTTGGATCACAAGACAATTTATATTGGGTTAAAAATGTAGATGCTAATACACAAGTACCAACACATTCTTATAAAATTCAAAAATAGCTCTTACCAGTATTTATTCAAACCAACATCAAAAGAAAAGTTGTCCCAAAATAACTATGAACTGCATCTATATTAGTGAACGTTTCTCTATATGACCTCTATAGCACCGACAAAGATTTTTAACAAATTACTGTTAAACTCAAAAATGAAAGGCAGGGAAAATCATTGCATTACACAGAGTGACTAGCTAAACACCATTAAATTAAATACTAAAATTGTTAAAAATGCAAGTCATTTTATTTGAGCTCTATAATGATTACAGATGGAGCTCATAAAACCACGATCAAGAGAACACAGCTAAAACTCGTTTATTTTAAACAAATGCATACATTTATCAAGACATTTCAGACACATGATACATACAACATAATAATACCTCTGTATGTGCAGGGATCAAAATAAAAATTTTCCATAGAATCCTGGCTTGACTACCAATTTGACAAGCTGGTTATCCCATGGCAATAAACATAGACAGTCAGATTTAGCGAGTACTTGCAGCCATGCATAAATGTGTAAACACATGTACAAATAAACAAATGTCAATGTTTGATTGTGGATAAAAAAAATGGTATTACCCTCGGTAGTAGTTTTGTAAATATTTGTAGTACAGTTAGGTTACTAATTTTAGAAAATAGTAACTCTAGGCCAAGACGTGATGGTCTGTACACACCTAAAGCTACTGTATTGTACAATTTATAAATTCACCAATACAAAAGCAGGTAACACTCATACCATACTAACATGCAGGCTCACAATTTTGACTTACGTCAATAGGTGGAGGTCTTTCTTTTTTCTTAATACTTGATCCTTTTTTCCTCAACCGTTCCCTCTCGAAGTATAGGTAATCTAATAAATACAAAAACAAAGACTATAATTATGAAATGAATTAAATATAGCAGTGTATTCATAACTTTGCATGAGATGTGGCACACCAAAAAACAAAAGTTTACATATTGACCAGCACAATTAAACTGTACAACAACTTAACAAAATAAAATTATGTATTAGGCATTCATTTAAATGGGGATCAAAAAAAAAAGTTATATACAAAATGTACGCTGATAGGCACATTTTGACCACCTACTCAAGTTACAACAATAACTGAACAGAAAATGTGCATGAAACTTGCACCAAGTCCACAACAAGATAATGCGTCTTATGCACAAGAATGTGCATAATCGTATTTGAATTTCGGGCTAGCTTGTCAAATAGAGATAAAATAATCGCTAATCAAAAAACACTAAAAGATATTCAAAGACAAATAAGTAATATAAACAAGCCATGCATGTCACAGTTTCCGTTAGTTATAGAATTTAAGATATATAGTTTAGTTTATAGCAATATAGCTGGAATATAACCATGTCAGGAATATGATTATGATTGTTTAACATTAAAATGATTTACATTTGTATCTGATCATCAAACAAGTACTTGTCCACATTGAGAGATATTGCTCTGGAACAGCATTCAAAATCAGCAATTTTGAATACGTATATATCTATAACATGATGTATAACGAATATATAAAATTCGAACATAATCAGTCAAAGCAAGTCAGAGATATAGCACAAGAGACACATTGCTTAAAACAAAATGGCCACCAGTCGGCCATTTTGAATCTTATCTGAAAAACAAAATTATTTGCATCAAGGTCCCATAATGTCTAATGTATATACCAAGTTTGAACAAAATCCATCTGTAAACTGTCGGCAAATGCTTGATTTTGATGATTTTTTTAGCACAAACATGGCTGCCATTCGGCCATCTTGAATCAGATCGTTAAACAAATTGATGTGCATATGTATAAAATCATGTATGATGTATGCATGAAGTTTGATTATGATTGGTCCAGGCATTTCTAAAATACAGGTCTGGACAGACTGACGCACGCACAAGGGTCAAAACATAAGTCCTCGTTTTCGAACTGACTCTGAACAGGGACTAATAAAACAATTTGAGGGATCTATACTAGCTAATAGAGTCGAATGTGTAGTAAAAACATAGAACATTTTTGCATGAGCTTAGGCGTATTAATAGAACAGATACGATACATCATCATGGCAACCAAACCCTGAACACGTGTATTTGATCACATCATGCTGTTTTGCACACAAAAACAAAATGCTAAATTATTGTAGAACTAGAGTCCTTGAAAACAATAAAATGCACGATTTACGTGTTACATGTGTCTGATTCTGAATTCTGAATAAACGTTACACAAGAAAACACACATGAGGCACGTGCTATTTATTTGGAGTTTACAGCAATAGAATGTCTCATAGTTCGCAAATGATGATTATAGCTCGTACGACGATGTTCCCCTCGGTAACGGTTAAATAGGATTATCTAGTCCGACATGGCGATTTTTTGGTAAAGTACTGTAAAACATTTCGAAAAAGCGACATGCAATTTTAGCGAATTGTGGTAAAATGACGTAATAGAGAAATGTTGATTTAGCGAATCTCTCTTGTCATTGTTGATTTCCTGTTTTCATAATACTTGTCTGTCGCATACTTAAACAAATGCGCAGTTATGACCTCCATAAAAATAAAGAATAACTGTCAAGTGTAATTTGGTTCTGTTGGCAATGACAAACAAGCAGCCTATCAGCTGAGATAGCTTCGCTGTTAGCAATGCACATTTCAATTAAAGAACTGAAGACATCATCAGAAAATGAACAATATGTATAGTATCAAAGCAATTGGACTTACAGTTTTTAACAAGAAGTCGAAAATATCACTTTTTACCAAAAATGACAAAAATATTCACCAAAATTAGAGAATTGAAGATACCATCACAAAATGAACAAATCTGAGAGAGGTCCACATGTAGTACCTATATATGTAATATCAAAGCAATCAGACTATTGGTTTTTTACAAGAAGTCGAAAATATCACTTTTTACCAAAAATGACAAAAATATTCACCAAATTTATAGAATCGAAGATATCATCACGAAACGAACAAATCTGAGAAAGGTCTACATGTAGTATCTAAATATGTAATATCAAAGCAATTGAACTATTGGTTT